TCCCACACTGCTTACACACATGGGCCTTCTCCCCAGTGTGAGTCTGTTCGTGCCTTTGCCAATTATCCTTCCTGCTGAATACTTTTCCGCATTGCTTACACACATAGCGTTTCTCCCCATTGTGAGTTCGCCCAAGATTAGCCAATGAACTGTTAGTGAAGTGCTCACCTACACAGGTTTTTTCTCCAGAGGGAATCTTTCCATATGGCTGAGTATCACGGTAATAATTAAAATCTTTATGCCATGGCACACACGTGTACATATCCACTTCACTGTGGCTCCTTCCCCACATCTGAATGTCCCTGGGTATAATGAATGAAATCACATCTGGCTTCTCTTCAGTGGTACTTTCTTCAGTGAAATCAGGATAGAATTTCACACATGGCATGTACTCATGGAGTTGCTCACCAGGACTTGTCTTTGCATGTTTCTGAAAGGATGGGACTTTTGTGCAGGCTTTGCCATGCTTGTTACGGGCAGACAGCGTCTCTTGAAATCCTTGCTGCTCGTAAGGGTTGAGCACAGTGTTCGCCATGATGGGCCCATCTGTTGATGAATGAGCAGCAAGGGGCCTTCCAGAGGAAAGGCTTTCACCAGGGTTTGTACCGACAACTTTCACATGTGCATTCACATCTGGAGTCTGAGAATCCATTTCTCCATGTTGATACCATAATGTGTAAGGAGAGGATTTCTCTACCTTTTCACTTCTGTAAAAGTGGACAGAAACAAAACCACCAATCACAGTTGGTAGTGTCTTTTAGCAAAGACTTGCTGTGAGGAGATCTGGCTGGATGCCCCCTAAGAACATTTAATCATCCACACACTGCACACTCTGCATGGTGGCTTGGTCACAGCTTCTACCCAAGTAGTAGGATTCATCTCAGAGCCTGTAATCGACTCATTTGGAATACACAGTACTTATGTTCCATTTGGGGATTTGGAGCACATCTTAATGAAATACGTGCCAGTGCTGATGCCTTCTTGTGCTTTTGCTTCCATCGCCCCACCCCTCCTTCCTACTCAGCCTCTTCACCCACTCCACAGTGTCTGCTCTCTTCTTCCCCCACTTCCTATTTATTCAGGAATTCATGCTGTGGGAGTCTCATGCAAAACATAAATTGTGATATTGTAATGCCTAACTTATTTAATCACAGATTATGAGCTTTAGATCCAACCACACTTTGGCAAGTGCCATCACTTCACTCTTGGATCAGTACTATGCCATTATGGGTACCCACGACAGACTGACTTTTCACTGCTGGAAATTGAGCCCAGAGTTTTAGCACAACATGCGACTATGTTATTATTTTTCATTTTGAGCCATCTCATCAGTCCCAAGGTACACACGCAGCAGGGATGCGTGGCCTTCCTGCCTTATGCTGCTATGTGCCAGGATGCCAGGCATGCTCCTTTAGACCCAGGCTGTCCCGCATATCCTGAACCAACTCATGTGTGAATGGACATTTAGCCTTTTTTCCAGAGCTTAGCTTGTCCAAGTTGTGCAGCTACAAATGGGCATTTAAGCACCAGTGTAATACAATTAACTTTAACGCTGTGGGGAATATATGCCGGAAAAGTACAGCTGGACATGGCTTTGGGAGGTGGTACACGCCCGGTATCCCAACACGTGAGAGCTTGAGGCTGGAGGATCACTGTGAGTTCAAGGCCAGCAGGGGCTAAGTAATAAGACAATGTC